TCTTATTCAATATCTTTGACAATATGTATATATATATACACATATATTATGAGCAATTTATGTCACTTAGCTTCCGATAGAAGATATATACATTTTAGACTCTCTTGTTTAAAAGTTAATATTTTATAAAAGGTAATAAATTACATATTTATATTTTATCTTCAGCAATATGGATAATCACATGGACGAAGAAATTAGATATTGTAAATTGAAGTTAGGGGTCATTTCAGAAAATTAGATAGTCTAATTTATTTTTCTTCTTCATTCTTCTTTTCTTCGCATATGAAAGTAATAAGTTAGGTTTGATTTACACTGGAAATCCACAGGTGCTGTATGTGGGCCAGCCAGCCTGGTGAATGCCATGATGGATCTTCATCAAGGAACGCTTATGTTATTAGGCCCAACTATGAACCCAAAAGTCGCTTTTGAACTTTCAGAAAGGATTCCTCACTTGAGCCTCAGAATGAAAGAGCACTGCAATCGGGCCTTAGTGTATGCTAACCGAATGAAGAGACTAGGCTTGAAAGTAATATATCCGGGCCTGGAAGATCATCCGGATCATGCTGTTCTGAAGTCTTTGGCAAATAAAGATTATGGCTATGGGGGAATGCTATGCGTGGATATGGAAACTGAGGAAAGGGCTAACCGTTTGATGAATTTGTTGCAGAATTGCACTCAATTTGGATTCATGGCGGTTAGCTTGGGGTACTACGAGACCCTTATGTCTTGCTCTGGGAATAGCACGAGCAGCGAAATGAATGCAGAAGATAAGGCATTGGCAGGCATTTCGCCTGGGTTAGTGAGAATGTCAATTGGGTACATTGGCACCTTGGAGCAGAAATGGAATCAGTTTGAGAAGGCACTTTCTCGATTAAGTGATTCTGGTTTATTCCAGAAGATGTAGCCTTGTTGTGTTAATGTTTCTATTTTAGTTAGCACAATAAGAATGAGATCCACTGTAACATATTTGGTGGTATTAATGTGTAATGTTCTTTTTATTGAGTTACGCGTATTAGTACTGAAAGATACATGGGATACTAAGACAATGCTTAAAATTAGAAAGTAAAAAGTAAACAGAGGTTGATTTAGACATTGATAAAGCTTGAATTTATACAATATCACAGATAAGTTACAAGCTACAAAAACATCATGAAGACAGTTATACATTCCTGTTGAGTTCGAACTTCATGGAGGATTTTTCATGCAATAGCATCGCTACAAAATAAAGCAAATTTTCAACTTGAAATCATCATGAAGTTAATTGTACATTTCTACTAAGGTTAAACTTCATGGGAGTAATTATCATAGAGACTAGTGCTACAAAATAAAACAAAGTTGTTCGTTGACAGGTGTAGTTTCATTATTTAGATGGAGATGACAAAACGAGCAAAACAAACTTTTTAGTTGTAGCATTGATGTTGTCTGCAAAAACATATGATGATGATTAGTCGAGCTTTCTCTTTGTTGGGACTTGATGAGTTTTAGAGCAAAGGGTAGCAATGCTTTTTTTAGATGGTATGTCGAAAAGTACTGCCTCAGTTGAAGTTTGGAAAAACGCTCGTTTTACAGATGGTGTGGTCACTTTCTAATTCCCATAATTTTGTTTGCTTCAACAAGGCATAAGGAGCTTTTGTCTTTCTCAATTGGTTGTTCTACTGTAATGGTAATTGCAGGCAGAGACGGAGATGGAGATGGGGATGGGGATG